AAGGCCGCGCGAGGAAGTAAACGTAGCGTATGTCGACTATGTGGCCAGAAAGTCCAGCGTGGCCAGGGGGCCCATGTTGTTGGGGACTAAGCGTTGCGGTCAGCATATGCAGCGTCGCCATTTGGTGGCCTTGGAAAATCCGTCGATAAGATACGGCGGTTCTGCTGCCCCAGCCCCGCCCGCTCTCCATCACACGCTCCGTTACTGCTCCGTCACGACGTCAATCGCCGCCCTCTATAAGCCAGTCAAGGCTCCAACACCTCTGTGAGGGGAGTTGTCGCTCGTTGGCATCTTCGCACGAGTTCTGATGCCTCCTTCTCCTGCTACTCTCTTCACGGATTCCGTCAAGCAGTCTTTCTTGGAATCCGTTTCCAAGAGACCAACAGTTTGCGAGCGCACCGCACCGACGGTGCAAAAGCTGAACGTCTCCTGTCCAAGTTGCTGGTGCTGCAGTACCCTCCCTTTCCAAGTGTTGGATCTCAGCAGCCTTTACGAGAAATGATGGCTTGTGCGCGCCGCGGTGGAGCGTGCAAGCCGGTTCATTTCTTCGCCAAAAAGGCAGTGCCGAGCCCTGCATTCACATGTAGAAGAGATGGTGGGCCAGTCTTTGAGCATGTCGGTCTTCTGCCAAAGTGCACGGCAGCGCCGAAGTGTGGGAGCTGTAAACTACGGTCAGGGACAGTTACATGTCATTTAGGGCCCCACTGGGTGAACGTTGGTGCGGCACAGCCGCACCACAAAACAAAAAAAAGCAACTTGGATAGGTCACGCCGCTTTTGCCTCACACGTTTGCAGTCCTTGGTTCCAGCAAACGATGTCCGCCTCTACCACCTCTTCTTCCGCGTGTCCTCAGCCGCCACCCCCGTGCCAAGTGCCATTACCGACCGGCATATCCACATGTGCAGGGCGGCAACGGTGTCACGCTGTGTGCTCACCTGGTATGCCTTGGCGAACGTAGTACACACAGGGGGAGGAACTTTCTGAGTGTAAATGAACAGAGAAATCGGACAGATGGCTGTCTCGCGCAAATGAAAATCGGAAACCATGTTGACCGACAACGGAAAGAAATGGAGTCTGCTCTGGTCAAGGAAGGTTGTGCCATGCGCCATGATGGCTCACGTGTTCAATCTGGTTGTCAAGCGGTTCCTAAAATCCACCATCCCACTGCAAGACATCTTTAAATGTCACGTAAACTTTGCATGCATTTCAGCCATTCCTACACCGCAAAGCACACCTCCTTGAGCTTGCTGCGGCAGAACGGAAATTCCACAGCATCGCCTGATCTGCGACGTTGCAACAAGGTGGAATTCAACCCTACACATGTTAGACCGCCTTTAGAACAGCGAAAGGCCATCTCCGATTTCCTGATGTTACAAGCGGATATAAGGTACTCCCCTGTGTAACTTAGATGTCAGCATTGGCAGCTCATGCGTGACACCTGCCGCTTGCTCAGGCCCTTTTGAGGAGGCCACGCTATTCGTGAGTCGCCAGGACTATGGGGATGAACGACGTCATTCCTCTGTTGCACGTCCTGGAACAAATGCTGTTAACAATGGTGGTCAGGGGTGCGGTTGACGTGGCGCACAGATCTCAACGCCACCATGACCCTGTGGGGGAGGACAGGAAGAAGAGGAGGAGGTAAGAGGAGGACATTGGTTGCTCAGGAATTATTGAGTGAAATGGGTGGTTTTTCCATCAGCGGACAGGAGTGGAGGAGCAGGAGCATCTGGGTAGAGGGAGGAGGAGGAGGAGACAGAGGACCCAGACGCACCGTGGCAGTATGCTGTGGAGATGGAGGCGGGGAGTCCCTCGCATTTCCTTGGCACAAATGGCCCATAGCTATGTCGGTTGCTTGCGTTAGCGACAGCCGAATAATAACCATCAGACAGAGGGATGACTTTTGGCTGTCCACCTTGTTGGACCTCGTACCGTTCAAAAAATGGTGGCCTTTTTCACCACCTGCTGAGGAGGGAGGCCAAAATAAGTACTATAAAAACCACCTATGTAGTCAGCTGGTCTCTGCCTCTTCTGCGCCAACGTCCATCCTCAGACACTGTGGGCCTGTACGCTCGCGTTCCGCTGGCCATGGCAGCAGGGGAGGGGTGGGGTGGTAGGAGCAGTGGCAGCTCCACCAGCAGCAGCTGCCTCAGTCTGCAGTCGATGATGAGTAGCTTTCTTCACTCAGCGCAGTGAGGAAATACTAACCAGCCGCAGCAGCAGCAGCATCAGGGGACCTGGAGCAGGACCTCAAACAACAGACTTAGGCCTACTTGGACAGAACCCTGCCAACGAGGTAGACAATCCCCTTGACTACTGGGCAACGAAACTTGACCTTTGGCCCCAACTAGCTGAATTTGCCCTTGAAAGGCTGTCATGCCCGGCCAGTAGCGTGGCATCGGAGCGCGTGTTGTTTAGTGCGGGCAGGAGGTATTGTACTCCGCGAGAGGACACGACTGTCCACCCCAAAGTGTGGAGAGACTCACGTTTGTGAAAATGAATCAGGGTGGATTAGTCTGGATTTCAAACCACCAGTTCCTGACACAACTGACTAAATCGCACATGAACCTTGCCCCAAACATGTGCCACTTTCAGGTCTCCTCACACTGCTGGTGTGTTCCATTTTTTGTCATAGGGTGCTGGCAGATTACGGGCCATTGCCCATTGCTTGCTGCCAGGCCCGGTAATCTGCCATGGGCCCTGTACCGCCCGGTTTCTACTGATGGTGTGTTTTCACTTTTTGCTGCTGCCAGGTGAGGCCCAGAGTGTGTCATATGTCCCTTGTTACGGCCTCCGTTATATTGCTGCTGCCTCCATCGCCACACTCTGCCATGTGCCACTTTCAGGTCTCCTCACACACTGCTGGTGTGTTCATTTTTTGTCATAGGGTGCTGGCAGATTACGGGCCTCCCATAGCTGCTGCCAGGCCCCTATCTGCCATGGGCCCCTGTACCGCCTCCTATGCTGATGCCAGGTCCACAGTGTGTCATGGGTCCCTGAATCGCCTCCCATTGCTGCTGTCTCCATCTCCACACTCTGCCATGTGCCTTTCAGGTCATCCTCAACACTGCTGGTGTGTGTTACAGTTTTGTTTTTTGTCATAGGGTGCTGGCAGATTACGGGCCTCCCATTGCTGCTGCCAGGCCCGTAATCTGCCATGGGCACCCAGTACCGCCCTCCTCATGCTGCTGCCAGGTCCACAGTTCTCTCATGGGTCCTTGTAACAGGCCTACCCATTTGTTGCTGGTTCGCATCGCCACACTCTGTACCATGTGCCACTTTCAGGTCTCCTCACACTGCTTGGGTGGGTTCCATTTTTTTGTCATAGGGTGCTGGCAGATTACGGGGCCTCCCATAGCTGCTGCCAGGCCCCTAATTGCCATGGGCCCCTGTACCGCCCCTCCTTCAGCTGCTGCCAGGTCCAGCGTCTCTCATGGGTCCCTGTACGGCCTCCCATTGCTGTGCCAGTCTCCATCGCCACACTCTGCCCGGTGTGTGCCACTTTCAGGTACTCCTCACACACTAGTGGGTGGTGTGTTCCAGTGAGGGGGAGTAGCGGGGCAAAAGTTTCCTTGTCGGCGGTGTGGCATTTTTCGTGAAGCTGCGAGAAAGTTTACGGTAAGCCGTCTGCTCGACATTGATGGCCAGAAAGTCAAGCGCGTGGGCAGGGGGCCCATGTTGGGGGACTACAGCGTTGCGGTAAGCCATATGGGCTGTCGCCCATTCGGTGGCTGGAAATCCGTGGATACTATTACGGCGGTAATGCCTGCCCCAGCACCAGGGTTCCATTTTGTCATATGCTGGCAGATTACGGGCCTCCCATTGCTGCTGCCAGGCCGTAATCTGCCATGGGCCCCTGTACCGCCTCCTCATGATGCGCCAGGTCCCGTAATCTGTTCATGGGTCCCTGAACCGTTTCTGCCTGTCTGGCATATTATCACTCTGTTCACGATGCTCACTTTCCTGTCTACTCACATTCTGGTGTGTGACGGATTTTTTGTCATCGTTGCAGTCAGAATATCGGGAATCCGTTTCCAAGAGACAACAGTTTGCGAGGCAGTACCGCCACCCGCAAGGTGCAGAAGTCTCCTGAACGTTCCTACGCCTGTCCAGTTGCTGCTGCCAGGCTCGTTAATCTGTCATGCTCCCCTGTACCGCTCCTCCTCATGCTGCTGCCAGGTAAAGAGGTCGTGTCATGGGCCCCCGTTCCGACCTCCTCATGCTGCTGCAGGCCTGTTAATCTGTCATGGGCCCCTGTACCGCCTCCTCATGCATGCTGCCAGGTCCAGAGTGTGTCATGGGTCCCTGTACGGCACATCCCATTGCTGCTGCCAGGCCCGTAGATTCTGCCATGGGGCCCCGTACGCATCTCCTCATGTAGGTCTCCTGCTACCAAGGTGGTGTGTTTCATTTTTTGTCCTAGGGTGTCAGATGGGCCTCCCATGTGCTGCAGCTGCCAGGCCGTAAATTCTGCCATGGGCCTGTACCGCCTCCCTCATGCTGCTGCCAGGTCAGAGTGTGTCTTGTTTAGGTACGCTGTACGGCCCTCCATTGCTTGCTCTGTCTACATCGCCACACTCGTTGCCATGTGCCACTTTCAGAGTCTCCCTCCCACGGTTTGCTGGTGGTTTCCCAAATTTTTTTTTTTTTGTTATCGGGTGCTGTTGCCATGGCCCTCCATTGTGCTGCCCTCCATCGTACCACATCTGTGGCTCACACTCTGGTTTCATGGGCCCCCGTACCGACTGCTCCAAAATGAGTGAAGCTGTCATGCCCAGGTAATTCCTCTGTGCTTGCCAGGTCCAGAGGTGTGTCATGGATCCTGTACGGCACTCATCTGCATGTCATACTGACTGTCTCAGTATTATTTCTCTTGCCCCAGCAGATCCCTGTCAAGGGCAGTTAGCCAAGAAGTGGTAGGCCTCGTAAAATGACAGAGCGGCGTCAGTGCATGCTGAAGCGCACAGTGTGCAGCAGAAGTCACCAATTGTCTGCAGAGGCAATAGCTAAAGACCTCCAAACTTCATGTGGCTTTCAGATTAGCACAACAACAATGCGTAGAGAGCTTCATGGAATGGGTTTCCGTGGCTGCGCAGCTGCATCCAAGCCTTACATCACCAAGTGCAATGCAAAGAGCCGGAGGATACAATGGTTTAAAGCACTGATGATCAGTGTGCCCTGATGATCAGTGTGGCCCCAAAAGTGCCACCTGTCAGTGTCAATCAGTGCCAGCAGTCAGTGCTCATCAGTGCCACGTGCCAGTGCCACATCAATGCCACATATCAGTGCATACCAGTGCACATCAATGCCACATATCAGTGCCCATCTGAGCTGCCTTTCAATGTCACCCATCAGTGCCAGTCAGTGCCACCTATCAATGCCAATCTGCCACCTATCATCAATCAGTGCCAGTCAGTGTTGCCTATCAGTGCGCATCAGTGCCACCTATCAGTGCCAGTCAGTGCCGCCTATCAGTGCCAGTCAGTGCCGCCCATCAGTGCCAGTCAGTGCCGCCTAACAGTGCCAGTCAGTGCCGCCCATCAGTGCCAGTCAGTGCTGCCTATCAGTGCCGCCTATCAGTGCCATATATCAGTGTCATGTATCAATGCTGCCTTTCAGTGCCCATCAGTGATGCCTGTCAATGCCCATCAGCGCAACCTACCAGTGCCTCCTCATCAGTGCCCATCAGTGCCACCTATCAGTGTCCATCAGTGCAGTCTATCAGTGCCCATCACTGCAGCCTCATTAGCGTGCATCAGTGAAGGAGAAAAATCACTTATTTACAAAAGAAAAAAAAATGTTTTTCAAAATTTTCAGTGGTTTTTGGTTTGTTTAAGAAAAAATAAAAATCCCAGAGGTGATTAAATACTGCCAAAAGAAAGCTCTATCTGTCTCAAAAAAATGATACAAATTTCATATGGGTACAGTGTTGCATCACCGCGCAATTGTCATTGAAAGTGTGACAGCGCTGAAAGCTGGAAATTGGCCTGGGCAGGAAGGGGGGTGAAAGTGCCCTGTAGGCTAGTGGTTAAAGAAAGCCTTTGTCAACTTTTTTATACATGAAGGAACTCTTGAAATAACTTTCCAGTCTCAGGGAAACCCCTGCTAATAATTACTATATCTACAGGTCACAGTACATTAGGGTAATGGTCACTGGGCACAATGTTCCTTACATTTGTGATCATTGGGAAGATTCCCCCCCTACAGATAGCCAAAAATAGCTTGGTTGTCAGTGGTTACTCATCTGAGAGGCAGGAGTTGCTCATGGCTCAAGTAACCCCTAACAACCACTGGAGTAACTCTAGGATTTTCATAGAACCTTGTTTGAGAAAGGATGTTCTAAGCTGTTAGAAACATACTGAAACCTGATATTAGAGTCTTTGTTGTGCTCTTTAAGGATTTTTGAAGATGGGTTCCTTCACTATACAGGCAGATAGAGAAGTCAGAGATTGCTTGTGTCAAAGCTTTACTGCTTGTTATGAATAGGTAACTAGTTTAATGTCCATAGCCTCAGCACAGGTACATTTTAAACATCCTTAAAGATGTACAGTGCTCAGCATAAATGAGTACACTCCTTTTGAAAAGTAAGATTTTAATCAATATCTCAATGAATACAAGAACAGTCTCCAAAATGTTTGACAAAACTGAGTTTTATGGAACATTTGTTTTGCTCATTACAAGAAAGTACGGTTAATAATATAACTTAGATTACAAAATCTTCAGTTTTACTCAAATTAGTTAATGCAAAAGTGAGTACACCCCACAACAAAAACTATTCCATCTAGTATTTTGTATGATCTCTATGATTTGTAAGGAAAGCACCAAGTCTTCTAGGCATGGAATGAACAAGGTGGCGACATATTGCAACATCTGTCTTTTTCCATTCTTCAAGAATGACCTCTTTTAGAGTCTGGATACTGGATGGAGTGATGCTCAACTCTATTCAGTATTCCCCATAGGTGTTCAATTGGGCTCAGATCAGAAGACATACTTGGCCACTGAATCACTTTCACCCTGTTCTTCAGAAATGCAACTCATTGTGTGTTTTGGATCATTGTTATGTGTGAACGACGACCAAGGGCACAGAGTGATGGTAGCATTTTCTCTTTCAATATAGAGCAGTATTTCTGTGAATTCATGATACCATCAATGAATTGCAGCTCCCCGACACCACCAGCATTCATGCAGCCCCACAGAAGGACACTGCCAGTATCATGTTTCACTGTAGGCACCATGCATTTTTCTTGGTACCCCTCTCCTTTACATACAGTTTGGAAGCCATCAATTCTAAAAACGGTTATCTTGGTCTCATCACTACAGAGTCCCAGTAGTCTCCTTCTTTTTCAGCATGGGTCTTGGCAAAGTCCAGGTTGGCTTTTTTCTGCATGGGCTTCTTTCGTTGAAGACACCCATGCATGTCATTCCTCTGCAGTGTACACCGCATTGTGTCATGGGAAACAATCACCCCAGTTTGGCTTTCTACTTCTTAAGCTAACTGCAGTGAACTTGCATGGTGCTTTTCTTCAACCCTCTTCATCAGAAGACACTCCTGTCGAGGTGTTAACTTCCATGGAGATCCTGTACCTCTGTGAGATGGTTGCAATACCACCTTTGGTAAATTTTTGTATCACTTTTGCTACAGTATTCTGAATGATAATTAAAGCTTTGCTGATTTTCTTGTAGCCTGCACCTTTTGTAAAGAAATTATTTTCTTTCTCAGGTCTTGTGACATATCTCTTCCATGTGGTGCCATTGCTGACAGCATGAAATGGGAAGGGTTTTTTTTTGGTCATTTGGTAAGTAATACCTTTTATAATCAACTGTCTGCTGAACACCTGTTTAATGAATAATTAGACTCACCTGTAGTTGAATTTTTGTTAATTATGATTTTCCTGTCTAAAAATTTAGCTTTGCTCCTAAGACTTTCATTGGGGTGTATACATTTTTGCAACATGGTCTTGAATGAGTTTGTTAGGAAAAATATTTTTTTTTGTGTGCAAATTAACAAATCTTGTTTGCAATCAATGCCCTGCATTGTGTGAGCATTGTGTAGTATAGTGTCCCATAGAAAATGTTGTTTCTGAAAGGAAAGTAAGGGTTTTCTGACAAATCTGTTGGGGTGTACTCATTTATGCTGAGCATTGTAAGTTTTTAAAGCTGAAGTTTTTTCTTCTTATACTTTGCCTTCCTTGGTTTCTCATTCCTCCCTCATAAACAGTATAAGGGAAAAAAAAATAAAACCTTTCTGTCTACATACCTTTATTTTAGACCCAGTAATATCATCACTGGGTCTCTGTACATTTCTATTCAATGCAGGTGGGTCATGGCTGATTGGGTGCAGAGTGTAGTATATAGCTCCCTGGAAACATCACAGCATGCTGCCTCAGTACTCAAAGTGGTAGTAAACTGCTGGAAGGTAATGTCATAATGTGCTAGTATGCACTGCATGCAGGACTTACCTTAAAACGATGTCCTCCAGAGGTGTGGTGTCCCCACTGCAGAGTCTTCCATCTTGACCCGGTCCTCCTTCCTGGTTCGCGAGTCCTGGCTGCCTGACTAGCCAAGCCACACGAGAGTCTCAGGACACACAGCACAGTTCTCTGAAGGCACGGCACGGCCATTCTACTCCTTCAGAGCGCATGCAGACAAAAAAAAGCAAAGATCTCCTAAACGGCACACGTTTAGGAGATATTAATTTTACCTACAGGTAAACTTTATTGTAAGCTTACCTGTAGGTAAAAGATACAAAAGCTGGTTTACTTCCACTTCAAGTGTCCTCAGTCCTAATGCAAGCAGTGGACTGGCTTCAGGGAGGTGTTATATACACTTAGGTCCATTCATATTTGGACACAGGCGCAATTTTAGTTTTTTTCAGGTATTTACCAAAACATATTCACGCTATAGTTATATAATGGATATGGGCTGAAAGTGCACACTCTCAGGTTTAATTTGAGGTTATGTACATCCAAATTGGAGGAAGGGTTTAGGAATTACAGCTCTTAAGAGTAGCCATCCCCCTTTTTTCAAAGGGGCCAAAAGTAACTGGACAATTGAATCAAAAGCTGTTTCATGGCCAGGTGCTAATAAAGGGCTACTCCTTTATTATTTTTATATCAATTAAGCAGGTAAAAGATCTGGAGTTGATTCTAAGTGTGGTATTTGCATTTGTTATCTATTGCTGTGAACCTACATCATGCGTTCAAAGGAGCTGTCCATGAAAGTGAAACAGACCATCGTAAGGCTTCTAAAAAAAAAAAAAAACCATCAGAGAGATAGCAGCAACATTAGGAGTGGCCAAATCAACAGTTTAGTACATTTTGAGGAAAGAAGAATGCACTAGTGAGCTCAGCAACATAAAAAGGTACGGACATCCACGTAAGACAACAGTGCTGGATGATCACAGGATCCTCTCTGTGGTAAAGAAAAACCCATTCACAACATCCAGACAAGTGAAGGACACTCTCCAGGAGGTGGGCGTATCATTGTGACAGTCTTCAATCAAGAGAAGACTTTATGAGAGCAAATACAGAGGGTTCACCACAAGGTGCAAACCAATCATAAGCATGAAGAATAGAAAAGCCAGGTTAGACTTTGCCAAAAATATCTAAAAAAGCCAGACCATTTCTGGAAAAGCATTCTTTGGACGAATTAAACTAAAATTAATCTATAGCAGAATAATTGGAAGAAAAAGTGGGGAGAAGGCTTTGAACAGCTCATGATCCGAAGCACGCAACGTCATCTGTAAGACATGGTGGAGGCAGCGTGATGGTATGGGCATGCACGGCTTCCAGTAGCACCGGGTCATTGGTGTTTATTGATGTGTCAGAAGCAGCCAGATGAATTCTGCAGTGTTTATATATTTATAAATGATATAGGGTCTGAGATTACAAATACCATTTCAGTCTTTGCAGATGACTCCAAGCTGTGCAATGGAATAATGTCCTCACAGGATGTCTCCAACTTACAAGCCGACCTCAATGCACTGTTTAATTGGGCAACTATGTGGCAAATGAGGTTTAATGTTGATAAATGTAAGGTTAAGCACTTGGCGGCTAAGAATATGCATGCATCATACATACTAGGGGGAGCACAACTGGGGGAATCAATGGTGGAGAAGCATCTAGGAGTTCTGGTAGATAACAAGCTTAATAATGGCATGCAATGCCAAGCTGCGGTTTTAAAGCGAGCAAAATCTTCTCTGGTATTAAAAGAGGTATAGACTCCAGAGAGAGATATATAACTATATCCCTGTATAAATCATTAGTAACACCTCATCTGGAATATGCAGTTCAGTTTTGGGCACCAATTCACAAAAAGAACATTGGGGAACTGGAGAAAGTACAGAGAAGGGCAACTAAACTGATACGAGGCATGGAGGAGATCAGCTATGAGGAAAGATTAGAGGAACTGAATTTATTCTCTCTTGAGAAGAGGAGATT